TTAATTATATTATAAGCCTCATCGGTTTTACCTACTTCAAACTTTTCTTCTACTTCTTTACACATCCTATCAATCCACTGTTCCTTAGCTGCCCTACACTTCCTAATTATTTCCCACTTTATAGCTTTATATCTTTTTTGACCTTCTTCGTCTGTCCTGTTTTTGTATTTCCGCCTTTCGTCTATTAATCCTACAATCTCATTTGTTATCCAAGGTTTCCTACTTTCGTTTTGTTTAAGACCTAGTATATCTGTAGCTGCTGACTTTAGGCACGTTTTAATGCAGTTCCATTCTGTCTTTATGTCCCCGTCATTCGTTTCTCCTGCCGCCTTTAGTATTTCGTCTGTCCTTTTACCTAGCCTACATTTTAGCTTTTCTAAGTCGAGACGTCTCCTACCTTCCCTCTTTTTCAGAATTTTCAATTTAAGATTGGTCTTCATAACTAAGTTATGATCGCTATCTATATCTGCTCCTGGATAACTCCTACAGTCCTTCACTTGATGTAATCTAACTGAATCTCCCTAAATCACCTGGCATCTTCCACGTATAGCGCCTCCTAACGTTATGGTTAAATAAAGTATTCGCCACGGTTAAGTTATGTTTATCACCAAAGCTTGCCGCTTATTTCAGAAACACTCTGTATAACTACGCAGAAGTTACAAATACATTCAATTCCACTGTTTTCATCGTTGAATTATTACAATCAAACATTCAGGTTATGACAAATTGGTGACGAAAGTAATAGAACATAGAAGATAATTATTAACGCTGATTACATCAGGAGGGAATACTAGCTATACTCAATCAACAAGAATAAATCTTGAAAGCATACACACAAAACCACAACCAAAATTTCGATTCGAAAAAACTTCAGAAATTACAAGATTTAAAAATTATCTTATGTTCTGAGTATGTGTGTGCGAGCAATCACCCTTCTTTATATTTTAAATTCAGGTTTAGGTGGTACGTAGTAGATGAGAATTCAATGGCAATTTTACAAAAATCATAAATTGTTTCCAAGATAATGTATAACTAATACAAGCTACGTTTTAAGGAGAATTTTCTTGGACTATTAGCCTTGTGTGTTAATGTTGGGAAGTAAATTTCATAATAAAACGTTTGCGGGTTCCTTCTAGGAAATGAAGATGCTTATGAATATTTTCAAAACCTTCCACCTAGTAGCAGTCGTTCCATAAATCTAAGTGATTGTGTATGTCAGAAATGTGAACAAATATATGTATTTACGAAAGAGACAGTCCAAAAATGACGATAATATTGAAATTCCACCTATTAAAGAAAATTCTAAAGAAACAAGACATGGCAAGAGCAACCAGTCCAGGATCTAAATGCATTTTCAACTGTTATTCAAGACGGTTCTGGGTATCGCAACAGATAAAAGCGCAGGTATTGAATGATTTTCGATTTTATATTTCTCGAGATGCCAGAATCTGTTCTACTCATAATAACTTTTACTGTACAAGGATCCCTCAAGAATCTAGAAACAATTTTACAGCAACTCAAATAACTGATATGCTAGATCTATTAATAAGGATGATTAGTAAAGACTGAAAAGGCTTTATTACTTCTATTTTTTTTTGCATCTGGATGATATAGTTGTAAAGCACCATACTAGTTTAAAAAAAGATCAATTTGAATATTCATTAGCGCAACTGCCTACTCTCAGAAGAAGAAGAAGACATCATACAGACATTTCTAGCAATGCATTTCAGTAGACTAAAAACGAGCAGACGGATGACCAACTTGCACACATGGTATAAAACCTGATAAATAAAGCTAGTTACTATTGAAAAAGAATTTACTTCTACACATTTAGGATTTGAAAACACGATAGATTTAGAATCGAAAATGTACTAACAAGGATGCAGTTGATTTTGCTTCTCATAGATTGACATAAACAAAACCATTACTTATTGAAGGAAGAATACAGCATGTAATTAATATCAATAAAAAAAATGAAAAAAATTACAGAAACAACTTGGCAACCGATGCGTGTTGTATCAGCTAAGCAAGGCCAGCATGTCAAGTAGTGGGGAATAAGTGACGTTGTCGGATTGCGAGACGTGAAAATGTTTCAGTGTTTGTGTATACATATACATGAGATTTGTATGTGCAATGTGGCCATGTGTACAGTATTAGACAAAATGCTCATACTCTTACCATGCACTTATTGACAATATTGTAGCATGACAACTACCTTAATGAAGAATTGTTTGAAAACTCATATTTGCTTGCTAACTTCTCTGCAGTAGTTTATACCCTCCACTTATTTCTATTACACCCTGTATATAAAAAAAAATCCTACCTTGAATGGCCACAAGAAGTTTGATGCATATTTAAATTTGGGTCCAACAGTAAAAACTTCATGAATTAAATCTTCAATGCATATGATATTGGCTCTTCCCAGTTTATCCTCAATTAACTGGTTACTTGTAATTGGAATACGTTGACCATTAATTTTTGCAAATCCACGCTTATAAATTAATTCCCTTACAGATTTAAGATTTGGATATCCCCATGTAATGTATGGTTCACATATACGTAACATATTAAGAGTTGCTTTGTTCAACTTAATGAATACTCCATTATTTATTTGACGTAACCGAAACAGCTGTAAAACTTTCCGAACTTTTGGTGCAACTTTGTTGATACTGGAAATTAAAGAAAATAATGATAAATTCAACTAAACAAAAACTTTTACACATAGAATGTAAAACCCTCAGAATTCACAACTTTATATATAAATAATGTCATGACCAGTTGAGTTTTGTTAATTTTGGACAAGCATGGAAAGTGGAATACAATTAATATGTATCCACTATGAAATTGTCCACATCTATAATTACTCATTCTCATTCTCTTTGATAATGGTTTAGCAGCCAAAATAATTGTTACGAAAGTTCTAAATAAACTGTGAAACAAAAGTGTACCAAGTGTTTTATTTCTTATATCTTATTAAATATGTTTCACCAAGTGCCTAGCCAAGAATCAATTTCTTACATCTATAATTACTGAAAACAAAAATTTTCAATGTAATTGTTTACGAATCTGTATTATAATGAAATTGTTATTTCTAAGTCATATCTTCAGCAAAAGGACATTAAAATACTCACTTCTTTCAGTTATAAAAGCTACATAACAATAGATAAATATTATGGTACAAAAATGACAAATTATAGCAACTTGTTTTGTTCTTGTGAATATAAACTTTACAACTACCAAAACTTAAAGAACTTCTTTGGTTCAATACATTTCATAAAAAAAAAGGAAAACAACTAAAACTTTGTACATACCCTCTTATACGAACCACAAAAGCTAACTTTGCTTCACCAGGGACGTAGTAATTACCGCGTACTCTTGCTTGCCGAGCAAGTCTAATTTCATCGCGTTCCTTTAGTCTGTATTCCTTGACATATGCTTCTGCCCGTTTAAAAATCTGCTTTTTTTTTTTATGGGCTAATGCTCGCTTCTTGATAGCGTCCTGAGCTTGTCTGGCCCGGAAAGCATCACGTCGCTTACGATGTTTTAAAACTGACTCCGGCACAGCTGGAAGGCCTTTAACTGTTTTTACATTCTGTTCTTTTTTCTCGATTGCTTTCTTCTCTCTAAAAAAACCATACAAAAATCTTAAACTAACTTTACAAACACATCACATGCAGGAACATTAACTTTGTATTGCAGTATACAAAAATAATATTGCAAATAATTATAATACTCCCTATTATGTTCAAAGGCAACCTAAACTAAATTAAATGCTATTTTATTAGTCAGATGAAAGCTGATAAAAGTCACTTACGTAGGAGCCATTTTGCATTAAAGAAACCGCTACAAATAAGAAATTCCTGCAAATGACAAAATCGTAAACTTCAACACCATAGATATTCAAAACCAAAAGAAGATAGATACCATAGATAATAATAGATACCATCGACGTTTACTAATGGACATGCCTTAACCGTCAGAATTGTGGTACAACAAAAGAAAGAGATGGAACGATGTTTCGGACAATATCCATCTCTCTCACGATAGTGCGTAGGCGTCTCGTAAAAAAGATAGCACTAGTGCGATACCATACGCCATCTCCCTCAGTTTTCGAGCCAAGAAATTATTACAACGACATACGGCTAAGGCACGTCCATTAATATATGTCTATGGTCCATTAATATAGGTCTATGATAGATACCATAAAGACTATAGAAAAGGAGTCGTATGACATGTGAAAACCGTCCAAATGATTTCATAAAATACTACATTCTTTACATATTAATTGTCGAAAATGACAGCCAAAAAAAAGTAAAACCCGTATTATTAGCGTTGCTGTTGTCACTACAAAAATGGACTAAAAAAATATTTTTTAGGCACTCGTGTAAATCTAGCACCCAATGTAAATAAACTTGCGATTCAAACTTCACCAATAATTTATGCGTCGTTTGCGGGTTATAAATACATATGTAAGTATATTATCTATGGTAAGTATCATAGTTGTGCGTCTATTACTTTTGTTAAAAGAAAAGGAAAATTATTTGGGGTGCAGATTGAAATTTAATGTCAAATTATTTAAAAACCACTGAGGATATATAATTTAATTGACGCCAGTTGAAGGCGTGTCATTTGTGCCTGAAGACTAAGCTATTATGATAAGCTGACTTTATTATTATATTATTTATTAATAATGATTAAAAATAGCACTAAATTTTTCAATGGCATTAGTATGGTCATATTATTATACTGTTCGTGGGTTTAACAAAATTAACTTTTTCAACGGTCAATTTATTTCTTCTTCTTTCGGCGATCGTCTCTTCCTCTAAATACTCTTGTTTACTTTCGGGAAACTTCTTTAAACATTCGGATAATTAATTTTTTCTTTGAATTGTTTAACTGCTTTCTCATAACACAGGTACGACATACACATTTACAAATACGGCGCACATGAAGAAAGGCGCCCGCGGCTAGTCGGCGAATCGATAACCCGTTCGCGCACGTAAATGCTCGATCACATACAAACACACTCATGCTCGCTACATTATCTATGATTCACCCATGATTCACCAATGGCTCATGCGTATTAGTAATATCAATGGAAAAATAGTAGAAACTGTCTATGTATGATATGCAATTATTACTAATAAATAATATTAAAGATAAATTCCGCTAACCATATAGATTATTGTTCAAGCACAAATGCCACGCAATTAATCGGCTTCAATTAAATTATCATATTTCAGTACTTTTTGAATAAATTAATATTTAATTTCCACCTGCACCTGAATTAGTTTTCTTTTTTTTTAACAATACTAATGGACGCACAATTATGACACTGACAGGTTCAGAGCTCGCAAACGACGCACAATTTATTTGTAAACTTTAAATCAGAGGATTATTTACATC